CTAGCCATAAAAATGCTCCGATTTGCTTGGAAGAAAAAGATTTCATATTTATCTAGAAGGAATACGCGCTATTTCAAATTTATTTAGGTACTTCTTCATTAATTTGACAAGAGGATTAAAATAAATAAAATAGAGTACAGAGCTGTTGTGTTGTGTTTTTTTTTCCTGCTAGCTTGCATGAAATTACCCTGGATGTTCTGAGTTACTTGAATAGGTAGTTTCCATTTCCATAAATCCAACTGCCAAAAACTGTCTCAGACAATTTTTATACCTGTAAAAGTGGGAAACAAAATGATCTGCTTTAGTCCTATCTAAATCGGTCTAATGAACTAGTCAAATTAAATAGTCAAATGAGTTTTTCATAAGAGAGACTGCAATGAAAAAAAAAATCCTCTTTAATTTAAATTACACCCATGGTCAGTTTTGTCAGACACAGTTGGTGCACGTCTCTCTTTATCCTCACTTGATACCTCGGACAGTTAATACAGCATATTTTGTTCTGGCTTTGCTAAGTTTAACCTTGCTGTGGTCAGAATGCTCTTACCATGGTACTCAAATGCTTTTTATTATTCCTCCTAGCCTGTACCTCTGACCAAGAAAGTCCTCATTCTACATCTCCATCTGCTTTGAACTTTCCCAAATGATCCTATTTGTGCTCAAATTTTCACTATCAAAATCTCTCAGGGAGTACTTCCATCACATGTACCATGCAGAACTGAAAAGTCTTTCATCTCTAAGCACACTATGATGTCAGCATTTTTGCCATCTGCAAACAATCACTTCAAAATATTCACTCAAGCTACTGCTCTTAGAAGGCATGCTCCAAGCAAATGTGCTATGGCTTCTTGTTGATCTCTTAAGACACTTCGCTTAACCTCTTCTTACTCAGTGTCGTCGGAAACACTGAAAACAGCCAGGTTATGAATACTGCTTAAGTTCCTTACACTCTATCCTTACCATAAGTAATGTCTAACTTTATGGAAACATGAATGTGCACACATTCTTCATTCAAACCAAATTTCTATGAAGATTTGCTGGTGCACAAGTCCAATGTTAATGATTATACAGTAATGGCCATAGTCATATTAGCAGTAACACAGATTAATAGTAAGCTAATTAAGTAAAATAGTGCTCAACAACTATCTTTAGATGCACTGCACCACATGAAAGGTTCTGCAATCCTCCTGTGTGAAGAGCTGCCTCTTGTATTTACTTGGAACTTTCTACCAACTTTATACAATGCCCTGTAGGTCTCATAGGGGAAGAGACAACTAACAGCCAACTCAAGCCACTCTTCCAAGCCACACATCATTTTGAAGACTTGTATAGTTTTCCCCCGTTGGCTCTTTCCAAGCCAGATGCCTGATATTTCTGCCAGCTGAAGACAGCAAGTTCAGTGGTTCTTTACCCAGAAGTTGTTTGAGACTTTTGATGATCCCTGTTGCCCTTCTCTGACACATTCCAATTCTGCTGAGTGCTTTTGACCAGAACTGCGCCAAGTACTTAAGATGACAGCAAACCACGTCTTTATACAGCAGCATACTGAGATTCTATGGTTAACTTTTGGTTCACTTCCTAATCATTTCCAGTATTTGATTTGCTTTTTGACCACTAAACAACAAGCTAATGCTTTCACGGAACTATCACTTATAACCCTAAGACCTTGCTCCTAAGGGATAACAGTTATCTTGGACTTAAAAATGAAAAATATTTTTCTTCCAGATCGAAAGTCCCAGAAAAGCCTCAGGAATGTGTCTTAAATGACACTGTTATACTAGGAAAGTGATTTATTATTGTTATAATTAGAAAAAAGAACTAAAAATGGTGAGAAAAGTCCTGAAATTTTTTATGAAGTACAAATCTAGAAAGACCAGCCACAATTGCTACCAAGTTCTTACGCTTCTGTGTTTAACTGCATTCAACTGACACGTGCATAATAATTTTATAGAAAGCATGAACAGCTCTCACTGTTCCGAGCTATGTTTATACACCATCTTCAGTTACTTTTCTGAGAACGTGAGACAACTGTTCTACATTTATTAAGGTTTAGTTTCACTAAATTTCTTTAATGAAAGTGTTTTGTGAATATATAAACAACTGTGTTAAAACTTTCATATCAACTTATTCTAAGAGCAAACTACCTGCAACAACATCCTAATATGGCAGCATTTAATATCCACTCCATAGTCTGCGCAGTTTAGGCAGAAGACCCAAAGGACAGGTTTACCATCACATATTCTTTCAAACACTTACAGCTCACTGTATTCATAACTCACACCACTTAGTTGTTGTTGTTATCAGCTTAGTTAAAGCTTTGAAATGTTATCTGCCTGGGAACAAAGCCATTCTATTCTATTTTACTAAAATGAAGATGGCAAATAATAATTAAAGCAATTAAAAAGCAAACAACCAAAACAAAGCAAACAGAATTTTTCCAATCTGCTTGAGTGTGATCCATAACAGACCTATAGTGCCATAAGCGGGAAAAAGAGAAAATAACAGATATCCACACTACAGAGAAGTATTTTCCTTCAGTTGCTTATAATCATAGAATCATAGAATCACAAGGTTGGAAACGACCTATAAGATCATCTAGTCCAACAGTCCTCATCACACCTCATCACCATTGCCACTACAAGCACTAAACCACATCACACAGCACGTCGTCTGGACGCCTTGTGAACACTACCAGGGATGGTGACTCCACCACCTCTCTGGACAGCCATTCCAGTGCCTGACCACTCTGAGAGAAATAGTTCTTCCTATGTCTAACCTAAAGCTCCTCTGATACAACTTGCGGCCATTGCCCCGTGTCCTGCTCATTGCCTGGGAGAAGAGGCCAAATCTCTCTTCACCACAACCTCCCTTCAGGAAGTTGTAGAGTGCAATGAGGTCTCCCCTGAGCCTCCTCTTCTCCAGACTGAACAATCCCAGCTCCCTCAGCCAGTCTTCGTAAGACTTAATGTTCTTACTTAGATGCAAACAGGCTGCAACAGAGCCACGGTCAGTGAAGTAACCACTCCGCAGAATTGGTCTGTGGAGGAACTTTTCTCTATCCACCAGCCATGCAGGCACAGAGCCTCTGCTAGTTGCCTAGGAGAAAATGCTATGACTGCTTCTCCATGTGACCTAAGCCAGGTCTTAACATTATTTCCCTATTTTAATAAATCCTCCCATCCTAGCTGCTCTCTGACATTCACTCTCTAAAAACCTTTATGCTATGCAGTAAATTATGCATGATGAAGTTGTGCTGAGACAAAAAAAATTAAGCTATCTCTTTTATTTCATGTACTTTGATATCAACCGCAATATGTCCCTCATGTAAAAAAAAAAAAAGCCACATTTCAGTTATGTGGGTGCTGACCTGCCTAGAGATATACTTGTTCATAGCCCACTCCTGCCCTGTGAGTAGTCAGAGTGAAGATCACGGGACTGTGAACACACTTGAGTGTGAAAGTAAAACTTTGCTGACTGTTTCAAGATAAGTTCAGGAGTATTGCACAGGAGTACAGATAAAGACCTAGAAATCCATACATTGTGGAGTTAGATGGATAAAAGTGGAAACACTTAAGAGATTGTGGATCTGGTGCTCAGGGACATGGTTTAGCAGTGGACTTGTAGTGTTAGGTGAATGGTTGGACTTGATGATCTTTTTTTTGGAGAGTAAGTCAAAAGTCATGAAAGTGTTCCACATCCAAATGAAAAAGAAAGGAAACACCAGACATAATCTTTGAAGTACTCAAATGAACCCAAAATATTCTCAGATAAACTAGAACTCAAGTAAAAAAGACACAGGGAAACATACCTTAGATGACTAGTAATAGTACAACTTTTAAGCATGCAATTCATGTTAAACAGTATAATGCCACCACATCACCACATGGGTCACCTAATAGAAAGATAGTAGGCCAATCTATAAACCACTTGGTGTGGTCTCACTGCCAATATTTTACTGGCAAATCAAACCATGATGACAAGATAAGTAGTTTACAAAGTTTCCATTATTATCATTATTGTTATTACTATTATTGTCTGGAAATGAGTCATAAAATAAAAATACGATTTCTCACAAGAATTTTGAAGGAAGATGTTTGCTTTGAGAAATATGAAATGAAAAAAACAATTCAGGTTGCATATATACATATATACATATATACATATATACATATATACATATAT